TTTGCCCATAAGTACGGTGGCCGACAGGTGCAAATGCGAAGCAAAAGAGAAAACATGCAAACAAAAAAAAGACACGCTCACAAATTAAATGCGGCAAACAAAAAGCAAATAAAATGCAGCAAACAAAAAAGAAGACACCCCCGAATGAAATGCAGCAAACAAAAAGAGAGACGCAAACAAAAAAGAAGACACCCCCGAATGAAATGCAGCAAACAAAAAAGAAAACACCCCCGAATGAAATGCAGCAAACAAAAAGTGTTGAAAACGGAAGTGCTCCAGACCACTAGGGGGAGTCAAAGAAAATAGTATTCATTTCTATGGGACCAGATGCAAGATTCAGAGAAAGATATTTGAAAGAAAGTAAAGGTACGTATTACTATATTTCTTTTTAGATACGCCGTCTTTTATAATATTACAGAATAACAGAATAATTTATGGGTAGCGTGATAGACTTTGTGTCAGTCATACCGTTGATAGATAGATAGATAGATAGATAGATAGATAGATAGATAGATAGATAGATAGATAGATAGATAGATAGATAGAGAATTCGATTTACGCTTTTAACTTTCGTATTTTTATCTTTTTTTGATTGCTCTTATTTTTTCACAGTGACTCTGTGAAGTATTATCCTCTATAATGAGGTATTTTTCGGGGAGGTTCTGTGCTTTTTTGTGCTGTTTTTATCATGCTGCTCCCACCGGGACACGCTGCCTTTGTTTACTCCAGAGAACAGCTGATCGCTCTAATGCCGGCCAGCGTTTTAGCCAGACAGCTGAAATACCACCCGAACTCTGGAGGAAAACACGCCGTGGTTGCAGAGGAGGAAAACAACATTATCACTTTACTTGGATTTATCACTTTAATTGGACTTTTCACTTTATTTGGATTTAGTTTTTACATATGCATAGATATACGTACAGATATATATGCAGAAGAGCTATATGTGTATATATATTTTATCTCTTTTTATTCTTATTTTTTTAAATCTTTATTATATTGTATAGTTGGATGTGTGTATATATCATGTAAAACTGTAACTGGAGCGTGTAACAAAAGTAATTTCCCTCTGGGATTATTAAAGTATTTCTGATTCTGATTTACCTTTTTTAGGTGGCCATGTTTTGCTGTTTCTGTGGACAAAATCTAGGAACAATTCAAGTTTTCTGTTTTTCATGTGGGAAGAATGTGCAGATCTTGGCACAAGCTCAAGACACTGGTAAGCAGTGATGGCATAGTTACTTGTAAAAATTAACTTTAATCGATTACTTATTACTACTTGAAAAAGTAGATTAGTGATTACTTTTTTTGGAAATTCACTAAGTTACATTATTTATTTTTTTTCTCCACCACTTGTGAAAAGCTTGAACGTTGCAAATAATTAATTACAAGTTATTTAATTATAGTAATATCAAGTATGTATCTCCGCTTATAAGGTTGAACTGAACGGGAGATTAATGGTTACAACAGCACCCACACACACACACACAGTGCATCAGCAATATTACCTATGCTAAATAAAAATAATAAAAATAGATTAGACATATTAATGTTCTTTGTGTTACTGAAAAATATCAGCTCTTTTGATAATAATTAAGGTGATTTCTGTTTCAAACTTTTTATAGATTCAAGGATGGCCTTTCAACACTGAACTTCCAGAATGCTTTGGAGCAGCATGCTTCCATCTTCAGGCCATTTATGCGTGCAAGAGTGGAACAGCTGACATCCAAAATATTGGAGGAAATATTTGAGGTTCAGCTCAGTGAAAAGGGTAGCAGCAGACGACATGAGGAAACAAGAGTGCTAGGATTCTGGAGAGACCTTCTCCTTGACGCAGAAGGAGGACTTTAAGATTTATTGCTATATTCTGGTGTTATTGTAATATCTGATACATAAACTCATTGCTTCTTTTCTAGAACAAAAAACGGGTTTCTTTCTCCAGGACGTCCTGATGTTTGCCACCGGCTTGAACACACTACCTCCATCTTCAATTCTGCCACCACCAAAACTGATCTTTCAGGCCACTTCTCGTTTTCCTGTCAGTAGCACCTGCTCCAACACTATCAAAATACCAATGTCCAAGACGTATCATCAGTTTAAAGAAGACATGGACTTTGGGATTCAAAACTCCCCTGGGTTTGGGCTTTATTAAGGTCAAATGCAAAACAAAACAAAATGCTATCTATTTAACTTGTCAAACCTGTTCAGTTATGACACTGTTTACTGTTTGTGTGCGACCTTCAAATTTGGATTCTTGTTTGTTTATAAGTCCACCATGTTTTTCAGTTTAATATAGTTTTCGACACATGATTCCCAACTCTGTGGATGTGCTAGGCCACACTGTCTCTGGAGGTTCTCAAAATGTGCCTGAAGGTGTTCATCTCCACATTGAATGTTGTTAGTCTCTGTCACAAACTGTCCGAATGGCTCCTGGGAAACTAGGAAACCACAGTCTGTTCCACCAAACCTAGGAATAGAAGAAATACAGGAAACATTTAGTTATATTTACATTTCTTCACTAAACTGTTACTGCTCTGACTATTGTTATAACCTGTCTAAATGATTAATTGTATTTAAATTTACATTTTAGAAATTGTCATCTGAAATTGTTAGAATAAAAAGTGACATACTGTTAACACATTGTTCATTATTTTTGTTTTGGCAAATTATTTTTTAGAGTTCCCAAAGAGGTTTTAAATTAACCAGATGTTGAAGACAAAAACAACAAAAATTACCTGTGAGGTAGATGATACATCACATCTGGTTTACCAGATGGACAGCAAGATTGTTTAACAGGTCTTATGGTATGTTTATGCCACCTGTTCTTGCATTCATCAAGATCTCTCTGTAGCATATCCATGAAGACAAACCGCACAAGGCATGTGTGCTCATGACTTCCATTGAAGAGATGTCTTTCCTTCAAATCGTTCATGAGATCCATCCAGAACTGAGATCAACAATAAACCAAAATTATAAGATAATTATATCAGCAGAAAGTAATAGGACTAGTTTCTATGTCATGAAAATAGTTAAATATATGTTGACCTACAAAGTTAAATATAAAGTAAGCAGACATCAACTGTTATACTTTAAATGTTGAGCTTCTGATTCATCCATATCAAATGTTAAACTATAAAATTAAGTTGTATATAGCACAAAAACATAATGGTCATTAAGAGATATGCAAGTACTTCATTTCTTCTGACAAAGTAGAGGTAATCGAGTAAAATGTTGCATTAAAAATTTGAAATGTTTGCTTATCCAAGAAGACTACTAAATTTATTCACCTTTTCAAGGTCTACTACTTGGTATTTATACAAAAATTACAATAAACTGTTGACAAACTCACCTTTGTTTTCTGAAATATGACCCCCAGCTTTCGATGCGTTGGTTGGCTGTTGAGGAGCCATACATATGGCTGGCAACGCTCAAGCTTTTCACAAGTGGTGGAGAAAAATAAATAATGTAACTTAGTGAATTTCCAAAAAAAGTAATCACTAATCTACTTTTTCAAGTAGTAATAAGTAATCGATTAAAGTTAATTTTTACAAGTAACTATGCCATCACTGCTTACCAGTGTCTTGAGCTTGTGCCAAGATCTGCACATTCTTCCCACATGAAAAACAGAAAACTTGAATTGTTCCTAGATTTTGTCCACAGAAACAGCAAAACATGGCCACCTAAAAAAGGTAAATCAGAATCAGAAATACTTTAATAATCCCAGAGGGAAATTACTTTTGTTACACGCTCCAGTTACAGTTTTACATGATATATACACACATCCAACTATACAATATAATAAAGATTTAAAAAAATAAGAATAAAAAGAGATAAAATATATATACACATATAGCTCTTCTGCATATATATCTGTACGTATATCTATGCATATGTAAAAACTAAATCCAAATAAAGTGAAAAGTCCAATTAAAGTGATAAATCCAAGTAAAGTGATAATGTTGTTTTCCTCCTCTGCAACCACGGCGTGTTTTCCTCCAGAGTTCGGGTGGTATTTCAGCTGTCTGGCTAAAACGCTGGCCGGCATTAGAGCGATCAGCTGTTCTCTGGAGTAAACAAAGGCAGCGTGTCCCGGTGGGAGCAGCATGATAAAAACAGCACAAAAAAGCACAGAACCTCCCCGAAAAATACCTCATTATAGAGGATAATACTTCACAGAGTCACTGTGAAAAAATAAGAGCAATCAAAAAAAGATAAAAATACGAAAGTTAAAAGCGTAAATCGAATTCTCTATCTATCTATCTATCTATCTATCTATCTATCTATCTATCTATCTATCTATCTATCTATCTATCTATCTATCTATCTATCTATCTATCTATCTATCTATCTATCTATCTATCTATCTATCTATCTATCTATCTATCAACGGTATGACTGACACAAAGTCTATCACGCTACCCATAAATTATTCTGTTATTCTGTAATATTATAAAAGACGGCGTATCTAAAAAGAAATATAGTAATACGTACCTTTACTTTCTTTCAAATATCTTTCTCTGAATCTTGCATCTGGTCCCATAGAAATGAATACTATTTTCTTTGACTCCCCCTAGTGGTCTGGAGCACTTCCGTTTTCAACACTTTTTGTTTGCTGCATTTCATTCGGGGGTGTTTTCTTTTTTGTTTGCTGCATTTCATTCGGGGGTGTCTTCTTTTTTGTTTGCGTCTCTCTTTTTGTTTGCTGCATTTCATTCGGGGGTGTCTTCTTTTTTGTTTGCTGCATTTTATTTGCTTTTTGTTTGCCGCATTTAATTTGTGAGCGTGTCTTTTTTTTTGTTTGCATGTTTTCTCTTTTGCTGCGCATTTGCACCTGTCGGCCACCGTACATAAGATACATATTTCATAATATATTATTATGTATGCTCAGTTCTGACCGCAAACTGACGACTTTTTTTGGCCATTTAACGTCATTCTCTGTTTCCACATCAAACAGACTCTCTCGCGCTCGGCTCTCCTCTTCGTGCCTCATCGTGTATTTCCGTAGCTAGTTGTTGCTCGTCTGAGGCTCGAGCGATGATTGAGTATAATGGCGACGCGTATACTCTGAGTTGAGCCCATGGTGCAGTCTGGAGAAAACAAAGGGAACCCGTTGGATATTTTTGTGCACTTTTCTACACAGCGACAAAGACGAGCGGCCGCCGGAAAAAGAACATTTGCTCTCACTGACGGGGAACCAGGGGGAATTTTTTTTTTTTACTGTTAGCATTGTTATCCATAGCATTTTGCTCGTTAGCTTGCTAAGTTGAAGAGGTGGCTGTAATGTGTTTGAACTGTGGGAGAGTTGAAAACTAAAAAAGTTCGATTTATGCAAATTGGAAATATTTTACGGAATCGTATGTTTTTATAGCTAATATTTCCCCTCTCGGCGGCATCACCCAAGTATTGATTCACATACAACGTTAGCTTGTAGTTTTCCAAAACGAGCCAGCACCCTCCTTGGGTTAGCCAGCGGACTGGAGCCAGCGGACTAGCTATTGTGGATTTTTTTTCTCTCCCCCAGCTTCTTTCCTGTCTGGACTCGCTTTCAGAGCTCTGGAAACTGCCTACCCAGCCCTCTCAACAGCTTGCTAGCATAAGTCTGCTAGCTCGCTAACCCTACACGTTATTTGTTTGCGAGCTCTTGATCGTAAATGACCACCGGGAGGAATAACCGGGCGATGATGGAAGGAGTCGGAGCCAGAGTGGTTCGTGGACCCGATTGGAAGTGGGGTAAACAGGACGGAGGAGAGGGGCATGTCGGCACTGTCAGGAGTTTCGAAAGTCCAGAAGAAGTGGTCGTTGTTTGGGATAATGGGACTGCTGCCAACTACCGTTGCTCTGGAGCTTATGACATTAGAATATTAGACAGTGCTCCAACAGGTAACTTTAGCGATGTGCAGAACTTTTTTTTTTGTTTTACTTTGAGAGAGATCCAGTGCAACAGATGTGTTTCTGTTTTTTTTTGTGACAAGAGGGAAAGATTATCGGGGTAACTTATAAACATAGATATGGCATATACTTTTAACTGTACATGCCTAGCTCTGTTGCTGAAGAAACTTGCTTTAGAGTCACGAATTAAGGCGTGATTGCTTTTTGGCAGGCTGATCTCTTAGAACTGGTGACTAAAGATGAATTGATAAGGCTTATTACAGCAGCATTGGTAGATACTTTTAGCCCAAACGATAATAAAGTATATAAAACATTACCCCTGTTATTGCATCAAATTCCTAACTAACTTAAGTTTTTAAAGGTCATTGATGAATCTCCCCAAAGTTGTGCTTACAAGAAATGGAAATAGACAATCCCTTTATTGTCCCACAATGGGGAAATTCTGGCGTTTACAGCAGTAAAAAGATTATAGATACAATGGTCACACAACTGTAGGCCTTGGAAAAGTGTATAAAAATAACATAATATTTAAGATTTAAAGCTAAACAGTAAAATACTGTACTGTAAAGTGTGTTATCAATATAAAACTTTGCAATTGTAGAATAAATAACCAATATACAGCTATGGACATTTTTACAGTAATGGAAATTTGAAGATAGAAATAACATCAGAGATCTGCAAAATGACAGCAGCATGTTATTTAATTGACTGAGATAAAACTGCGCAAAATCATAATGAATGTTACAAGTTATTAAGGTTGTTGGGAAGAGTCTGCCTTAAACATATCTACAGGAAAGCAAATGTCACTACAAAGGTACCTCACAAGAAAAAATGCAGAAAAATAATAGTAAAATGTAAAATTTTCTTGCCTTACTTCAAGGTCTGATATGCTAATTCATATTTTAAACGTTTCAGTTTGTTAAAGAATAGATAACTTTTATTGTCATTTTGTATACACAGTGTGTACAAAATAAAATTTAGTTTTGTACCGCTTTCAGTCAGTGAACGAGCAGCAGCTTAGCAGTAAATGAACATTTCCTTTCCTTAAAGTGCAGCAGTGGTCGAGTGTAAACAGCTTTGGAGAAAAAAATATGGTGCTGCTATTACTAATACTACTAATAGTACTGTTCAATGAAGAGTATAACAGGTGCCAGTGGTTATTCCTTGAAAAAGTAGTTTTAAATTCAGCATCAAACAAAGACACTTATAACTCCATTTGTGCCTCAAAGCATATGTCCTTAAATTTGGGTTTGATTTAAACAAATAAAGAATAAAGCTCTCGGGTTAGTTGATACCTTTGTAGACTGAAAATCGTAGGGATTTTAATTTCATATTATTTTGTTGATTTCTTTTGACAATCTGTATTTTAGCTGCTGAATATGGATTTCAGAAGATCCATTTTGATCCCTGGCAAATTTATTGGCACATCTTAATGGACAACAAGTTTGTTGATTCATCCCATCTGTAGATGTTGTGGTCTTAATAATAAGATTTGCCTCAAAGGACTCGGTGTCAAAATTAAAATAGCTAGAACTAGTAGAAATTTGAGATATGGCTTAAATAGATCCCCGGTTTTCTTTAAGGTCCAACCTGTGGATCTTCATTCTGCCATTTTTTTAATATGAACACTTAATGGAACACAATTTGCTGTAGAAGGATAAACAAAAAAAATACTGTAAAGAAATAAAAATAACAAAAATCCTTTACCTTTTATATCCAAGTGCAGTTGCATTGTTTAGCAAGTTATTCATGAAAACAAGAGCCTTATTTTGAAACAAATTTTAAAATTTTTAGCTAGCCAAAAAAAAAATCTAGATGCAAAATATTTATACCTTGGTATCATTCTGTTCCTCTTCCAGTTACTAGCAGTTAGCAGTTTTTGTTCGTTTAGCCTGCATGATGAATCCAGAGGCGAAGAAGCAGTGCTCTGTGGTTATTATTGTTATTCTAAAGGTTGAGTCATATCGTGAAAGAAAACCATTAAAGGTTGCAGAAGCAGCCAGTCCAGCTTAGTTGTAATTATTGCTTTTGAAACTCGAGCCAGACTAATAAAAACAGCAGACAGTAAAAACATGACTTACGATATGAATGCTTTGTTGCTTCGACCGAATGCAGAAAGGAATTAGGACTCTACAATCCATACCTGTTAACCTGTACACACGTCTATCTCCCTTTCAGGTATCAAACATGACGGAACCATGTGCGACACCTGTCGTCAACAGCCAATCATTGGCATTCGCTGGAAATGTGCGGAGTGCACCAATTATGACCTTTGCACAACTTGTTACCATGGAGACAAGCATCACCTGAGGCACCGCTTCTACAGGATCACCACCCCAGGCAGCGAGAGGTTTGTTTTGCACTGTTGTCTGCTACCTTAGACCTATGTAAGTTATATAATCCCTGCTGTTTGTTGTCATCCATTGGACCATTCAGAGCTTCAGTCTAGCCCTGTTACCTGACGGGAGTGTGAGACTTTTTCTATGTTTGCATAAGAGGAAAGGAGAACCTCTCTGCATGTTACCAGCCATCAGTTGCCAGGCAACTGCTTGGTGTTTTTTCTTTTCTTTTTTTTTTTTTTTACGTTTCAGTCTTAAAAAAATCAAATGTTAACCTTTACGTTTTTTGTTTTTTTTTTGTCTTTTAAATGAAATTAACGTTTTTTTTGTTGGTTTTAATAGCTTTAATAAGTCTGCATGCAGCCATACTGTGACACTTACCTCTGGGTCTATAAGAAGGTATATTGAGGATGAATCAAAAGTCTGAGATGATTTTAATGTTTAACTTTTGAATCTTTATTTAGATTGATTTTAAAAAGGTGAAGTTAAATAATAAATCACAGTGTATGGTTTTAAGTTTCTTAACGAGTTGCTGATGAAGATTCTCAGCCATCTAGAACCAGGCAGTTCTCAGTGCTTAAAGTGCAACAAGATCTTTGAAAAACACAACAAGAAGAAGCCTTGCATTCTCTTCTTTACTTTGAAATGATGATGTTTTTATAGCAATCTGTTATCTTTAAAAAAAAATAATATTTCATGTTAAAACAAGACTGCAGCATTATTTGAAAATAAAAATGAAAGCCTTGAAGTAGAAATTTTTTTAAAAGTCCATGCCAATAATGATTATTATAAAATTGGTTTAACTGAGCTGCGATATGTGCTGCTGATATTTGATTGTTAAAAACATGTTAAAAAAGGAACAAACAAAACAAATGTTACACAAGTCTCAGTTCAAACAAAAAAGAAGAATTTATTAAGAAATTAAATTGATAGAATATGGAAGGAGCAGCAATGCATGTGCTTCATGTTATCTTAAAACATGGCTGCTGAACACCCAAAGGAATCTGTGAGCGAATGCATGTTTTGGTCAATGCATGCAGCTCTAATATCGGCTAATGTTTTGCTTTTTCTAAAGTAAAGTATCTCCTCTGCTGAAGCGAAATAATAGAACACATTTTTTTCACTTCACAAGCATTTCCTCACTCTCTATAACCATGTTTAATCATAATGGTAAAGTTAATGCTGGTTTGACATGGTGACTTCCTTTATAACCTGGTTACTACAACATCTATAACTACAGATAAGTTTATCTCAGCATATCATAACTTGATTTGACAAATATAGGAGCTTTGAAAGATGGATATTTGGTCTCCCTAAAACAACTGAATATCACACAAGACTAGTAAATAAGGAGTTTGTAAAACTGTAAGCACGAAAAGGTAATTATTGATAAACTATCTATATTAGATGTGATTAATGTCTGTATTTTATTGACACTTTTGTGGAAAGAACAAGTTTGGTATAAAAAGGCACACAAACTGAAATGACCAAAGCCTAGAGATGATTGAAATCTTACTTATTAGCTACATATACCATCTTAAACATGGATATTCTTTTCAGCGGGGCAACATTTCCTCCCAAATTTCCTCACATTAACATTCCGCCTTGAATTTGTTAATTTGGAGCAATTGCTCTTTAGTAAAAAAGAAATGGATGTTATAATGTAAATTTACACTGTCATATGTTTATAGTTGTTTTTATATATTTTTTTACTATTTTTCAAGGCTGCACTTTAAAAAAACTGAAATTGTCCAAACAGCTGTTCTAAACATAATTTCTTTTTTTTTTTTACACTTGTGTAAACAAAATGACTAAAACATCTAAGTCTAATTTTATTCAGTAATTCCCTCCCTTTCTTTTCATAGGCATCTTTGGAACTTTTTCAGTTGATGTTGATTTAAGCAGATCAGTTGCTATTTGGACCTCAAAGGGAGTTTAGTTACTACATTCTGGTTTTGATTTTGCATTGACCACTGTTGGAATGATAGTCTAGACATCAGGCCTATTATAATTTCATAAATAAGGCACAAGGTCGAGCAGCTGGCAGCGTTTTGTTCAACTAGAGGGCAACTTTATATCCCCTGAGGCAGGCATTGCATAATGAACGGGGGGCAGTGGAGGTCTTCCCAGCTCCCTCCATTGCTGACATCTGGTAGAGTGCATTTTTATTTTCCACCACATTAACATTTTTACGGCAAATCTTCTTAGACATTTCAAGTAAAGGGGGGAAAAAAATATACTTTTTATTTTAACATTTTAGCTTAAGATTTCAGACACAGTTGAAGCAGCAGCAGCTTGTCTATTATCAGTTTTATAAATGTAGCCTCTCCTGTTAGGTGTCACATTTGTGAGTAAAAATTGTACTTCAGTATCACCTGTTTACCATTGTGTCTCTAAGCAGAGTGCTTCTGGAGTCACGGCGCAAGTCAAAGAAAATTACAGCCAGAGGGATCTTTGCTGGTGGCCGAGTTGTTAGAGGAGTGGACTGGCAATGGGAAGACCAGGATGGAGGGAACGGGAGGAGAGGAAAGGTGAGAAACAAACCGCTAAACCTCAGCTCGATTATTGACTCCTCTGTTTTGGTGACTGATCTAAAATGATAGCTGGTCTGGTGAGCCTGCAAGACAAGGTTCCAGGAGTTCTTTGGTTCATAAGATTTTGGCTGGAAAAACTAGTTTCCACCACAGGATCTGATTTGATTGAAATCTGCACATTCTCAGACAAAACAGGAAGGGCACTGCCTGGGTTAAAATGCTGCTGTAAGCCACACAGAACTCTTTCTTTTAACCACTTTAATGATAAACTAAACTTCCCTGCATTGTTTGATGAGGAGGATCAATTTTGAATATATGTTTTAACTATAATTGTTTTCATTAAAGTTTTTAATGCCGTTTAATCACTAAAGACAACAAAAAAAATTCAAACTCTTTTATTAGTTTATGAAGAGCCTTTTAAAACAATGCACAGAAGGATCGATACTATGAATTGTTGAAGCAGCCAAAAACACAAAATATATCTTCAATCAGGTTTATTAAGCATGTTGTTGTGACTTGTTCACAGGAAATCTATTTTCATTAAGACACGGACAAGCAGATAATTAGTGGAGCAGCATAGCAGATTCTGCCTTATCATGTCTCAACGTTTGTATCATAGGGTCAAATCTATCAGTAATTCAACCTAGACATGTTTTGATCCATAGTTAAAAAAACAAAACAGGAAGTGATCTAATTACCCTCCTTTCCGGGCAGAGCTTGTGGCTGTAGAGCGTTTGGGTTGGGTTCTTGGACAATTTACTTTGGATGAAAAGGGGGACAGTATGGCTCCTATTACCAAATCAAAGTTTTCCAGGTTATTATTCAGTTGTTTATTACGTTGTTTTCTAAACCTCTCTTTTAAAAAGCATTTTTTTTTTTACATGTAACAAGTATCCTGCTTGAAAATAACCATGTTATGATTTATAGGAATGCTGACAGAAAATCAAAATGTTCAAGGAATTAAAATTCATTAAGATCATTGCTTCTCTAAGCCAGCTCATCTTAAAGCAGTAGACTTTTATGATCTTTCTTCTTACAAGAATCAAGATTGAGAGAAAAGGATTTTATATGACAATAAATCAGAAGCTGTTGCCCAGAGACGTCAAACTCAAGGTCTGATATCCCAGAACTTATGTCCTAAAAAAACCCCTAACTTATATATAACGCACTGCAGCGTAATGCCCATGAAATAATGCACAAGCATCATTTCATGGGCATTATGAAGCATCAGTTAGAGCTGCGCCCCTCAGGTGCATCACTGCTCCTGCATCAAAAGATGTCTTTAATCGCAGGATTAACATAGCTGCTGTTTACTGCCTGCCCCCCACAAAAAAACAATAAATTAAAAAGAAAGAGAAAAAGAAAGAAGGTTTGCAGTCGCAGCATATTCAGCATCATGTCTGCTAGGAAGTTTGTATGTGGAGGCCCTGGGCATGAACGCAGGGAGGATCCATCACACTAACCATCTCGCTCACCCTATGATGGAGGTGAAGTCTGGAGGAAACTGACGGTTTCCTCCTGTGAAACCCTTTTTATAACAAAACAGTGCCACTACGCCATTAAACAGTAGCTGTAAGTTAGAAACACGTTCAGCGGTCGTCTGGATCACGTCAGATACATTGATATGCGTTGGAGATAAGTTCTTGATAAGTTACGCATAAGTTATACACAAGTTACTCATAGATTTTGGATAAGCTGGTTACCACGACTTATGTCTAACTTACAATTAACGTATGTCAACGTTCAAATAACTTACCTGTATCTGTATCTTATGCCCCACGTCCATTTCTCGATGTACTTGCGGATGCTCGTAACTTATAGAAAACCTACCCATAACTTATCCAACATAAGGCATCGTTTTTGCTGGAATTTTCATACGTCAGGCATACGCTATTCTACATCGTCATGGTGTAACAGGGGCTTTGGACAGATTTTGATATTAGAAAGAAAAAAAACTGACTTAATAAAAAAGGCAGGTTGATATCCTGCAAGTTTTAGATAAGTCACTGGTCCCACACACATGAATCAAATGACTTAATTACCTCCTCATTATTGAACAGAGGTGTGCTACAGCAGAGGCGCATCATCTTGTTTCAGCTATTTGCTGATCAGACCGAGCTGAAACAAGAAGTAAGCAGGGCTGATGTAGCAACACAAACATTATTGTTGCAGGTTGCTGCCAGGGGGGCTTTGGACTTTTTTTTTAGTCTGCATAAAAATGGGAGACAATAGAATGGATCAATTGTTAAAAGATTTTATGTCGACTAAAAATACTGATGTCAGCGTCGAGGGATTAAAACAGCCCTTGTAACCAGTTACTGGCTACAAGGGGTCTCTGTTGCTGTGGAGGAAAGAAAACAAACATAAACCCAGAATCTGCTTTGTTCCATGGGGGGAGAAAAAAGGCATAAATTAAATTTAATTACAGTAACAGATGTTGCATGCATCGCCCACTTGTTGAGGAAAAAGCAAAAGAATCCTGAACATCATTACAAAAAACTCTAAAATCTGTGTTTGTTGATTTCAGTCTTTGTTTTACACAGTATTGGAGTCTTACCCAGAGTCTGAGGTTTTCAATTTATAGCACCTCGATGGAATACATTATTTTGTGCTGTTAATTAATGAAGCATCTCATTGCTGTTTTATGATGCTGTCAGCACTGTGTTGTGTTGAAAACCATGGCTACATCTCCTGCAGCCGAGATCTGTTGTTAGGTTAGCATGAATATTAAATCTTAAGGCCCATTAATCAGTTGGCTCAGGAAACAGGCTGCAAGTAATTAAGGTTGTGTTGCAGTATTTACTAGAGGTTTGTTATTAAATTAAATCATTCATTTACTTAACTTTCGACACTCTTTAATATTGTTATGAAGGCAATTTACTGCTGGTGATTGATGGAGGAAATCTATGATTTCCAATTTTTGTACAAATGTTGAATTGATTCTGTCCTCTGAATTTAGGTCATTGCTAATTTATGCCTACAGTAAAACGATTTTACTTTTTTAAAGGGTAGCAATCATGACTGTTTCTCAATAAAAAAACACAAAAAACCCAAAGAAGTATGTTAGTCATTTTTTAGAGGTTTAGAGTACTGATTAGAATGTTTTTTTTTCTTTTATAAACAATATTTTTTATTTATTTTGATAGAAGAGCAAGAAACAAAACATAAAGCATGCTGGCATTGGTTATCCTTTCCAACTTATGGTATAATGCAAACAGTTATTGGTCATCTTCATGCACATATGCATACATGCACCTTTACCAAAACTTTTTGGGCATTAACAGGTTTTGTACATATATTTTTATTATTTAGATTTAGGAATAGCAAAGGCTAGCTGAAGTAAATCATCTCCAACATCCACTAGATTTAAATCTTTTGTGTATTTAATAAGAGGACCTCAGGTATTTTCAGATGCCTGATGCTTATGCAGGTTATTCTTTCTGTCCGTCGATTTAACAGCATTTGTTTAAACCACAGTAGTTTGTACAGTAGTAGTTTGTACAGTAGTAGTTTGTACAGTAGTTTTCCTGAATATATGCCTAGACTACAAAGCTCTGGAGATCATATTTTCTTTAAAATGTTTTTAGTGTTCTACAAGGATCCTTTGTCAGTTTTTGCAGACAACTTATTCCTACCTGTTTATCTCATAGTACCAAATGTAATACAGCAAAATAATATAGTTTTTATACCTCTCTTTAAGTACATTTTTTTTAAATATTTATACAAAACAAATCATTCAGTGTCACTTTAGCGTTATCTGTAAGGCTTCTGAGATCTGTTAAACCGCTAACCGGACTGCATTGAGTTATGGGGGAATTTATGAGGGTGGTAATTATTAAAACTCACTTTTTTATATATATAAAATATTTTTATATTATGGGAATGTTACTGAGTAGAGCTGATTTAATCACAGACAGGTGAATTATAAGAGGCACTTGGAGTAGTTGCTGTGATCAGAAACCTGGACCGATACCTTAGATCCAGGCATTTGTAGTTTTCATTTTGTTTGCCAAATCTTTTTATCTTCAGGAAATTCAAACAATTTTTTTTTCTAATTGGATCTATGCTACGTTACAGGTGACAGAGATCCAGGACTGGAGTGCAGCCAGCCCTCACAGCGCTGCCTACGTACTATGGGACAACGGGGCCAAGAACCTGTACCGGGTCGGCTTTGAGGGAATGGTGAGGAAACCTTGTGTCTGACTGTGATGCTCCCTCCCTCACTGACTCACTGGTAGTCCCTGAAAAGAACAGCTGTCAGGGGCCCTTTGTGTTTGACCACATGGCTGAGGTCTCTTTCTATGCCTGCCAGGCCTTTGTGAGAGCCGCACAGCCAGAATGTGTAAGAAACTATTGTGGAGGCAGATGGAATGGGGAAGATATCTGCATGATAAAAGCAATCTGTTCCTGCTTCTTTAGGGGGGGGCAAGTGAACATGCATGTCAACTTTCAGGGTTTTGTGGACGCAGCGACACGCGTGTCTCAAATAAAAAGCCTCCTTTTCATTGGCTAAGGGTTCCACTTGCTGTTTTACAAAAATGGCCAATCGGGTTTCTTCACTTTTGTGGGAAGTGGCTGACATCTGCCTCCTGAGGAAACCATAAGGTAGACTCCCCTTGATGGCTCCATATCTGATGTTCGTTTTCAAGGCTTTAGTTCAAGAGGTTAGGATAGGATCCAACCAAAACACTATGGCAAGAATTGTTTCTATGTTTTTATAAAATTATATTTATTCACCTGGTGATTTTTTTTACTTCTTACTTCGTCCCAGAATCTCCTAAAACGCTGGCATACGCGGAACTTTCTTAGTATTTTTTAAATTTCAGTCATATGAATAGTGTATTCATAATGAATGACTTATGTCCAAAAACAGCCTAACTTACATATAACTCACTGCAGAGTAATGCCCATGAAATAATGCACAAGTGTCATTTCATGGACATTATGAACAATCAGTTAAATTTAAGTTGGAGGAATGAGGCCTGCATCAAAAGATGCAGGCAAGATTAACATAGCTGCTGTTTACCGCCTGCTCCCCAAAAAACAATAAAGACTCAATAAACACCACGACTCATGACTAACTTACAATTAACGTATGTCAATGATCAAATAACTTACCTGTATCCTATGTCCCACGTATGGCATACGCTGGTATTCATCTGGAAATTTTTAGACGTACGAGACGTACATTTCTCAACGTCAATGTCGACGTGTGCCAGCGTGTTTCAGGATGCTCATTACTTACAGAAAACGTACCCATAACTTATCTGACATAAGCCATCGTTTTTGCCAGAATTTTCGTACGTCAGGTATATGCTATTCTAAATCGTCATGATGTGACAGGGGCTTTGGACAGATTTTGATATTAGACAAAATAAAAAACTGACTTAATAAAAAAGGCAGTTTTCAAATCCTTATTCGATTTAAGGGGAAAAAAGTGATCAAACCAACATAAAGGTAAATTATAAGTTAAGCTAAATATCATTATATCATGAATTAAAGTTGATGAACCAAAACCTTTAGACAGCAGAGTCCAGGCTTTATTACAGCTTGGCCTGTAAAATTACTAAATTAAGACAAATAGCAGGCAAACAATAAGTTCAATGAGATCTTTCAGTCTGGAAAGACTGAAGATTAGGTACTAGGCTATTTTTAAGATTTTATATGTATAGATGTGAACAGAGAAGCAACAGAATTCAGAGTGGTTCAAAGCTGTGGAGGCATTCACTGCTTTCACCTTTCATTTTAAACTAATCACATACACACTCCAACAAGTCCAGCAAGCTCTGGAGGACATGTAGTGACCAATACAACCACCAGGCTGTCTGCCTCATAGAATTTGTTTCACTTATACTAGAAGCTAAAGGTAGTGTGTGGTGCTTGTCACTACCGGATCTGTACCGCTAGCACGATCCGTACCACAGGCTCATCTAAGTTTAAGTTCTTAAACATTTCAGTTTAAAATGTTCACAATTTACTGTCTGAGAAAATACATGTGTTTAAATCCTTTTTTGTTTTATCAGTCACCTGTGCCTGATATATCCTGGAAATAGGATCCTACTCTTCTTCCTGGAACTATGTTTTTTGATTTATCCATAAATGTCGTCTTTTTGAGTTTGTCTTTTGTTTTATTTTTATGGTAAATAGTGCATAATCTAAAGAAAGGCATGACTAAATGCGGATAAAACAGAGTGTAATCCTATTTTGCTGCACTCCTCTGATAATGTTCAGTGATGATGTCAACAAGCAGTTTTACTGAGAAAATGTAAAACGCAGTTAGTCTCAGAAAAGTCATTATATTCTTCTAAAGAGGTAGTTTAGCATTCTTTGGAGATTTAAGGATAGAAATAAGTACTTTTAGTATCATGATTATTATTTTTTTACGGCAAACTGGATAAATATCTTCCTGCACATGAGGAAATGATACGGATCGTGCTTCCGGTACGGATCAGGTATTGACACTGCTCCTGTAAATTCTCTGTCCTATCAGGTGTGTTGCCTTCGCAGACTCCCACTAATTTCCATGGGAGTTTGGGGTGCTAGACCTATTCAACAATCATATGCTGCTATTAGGGGGTCAGCACAGGGTAGTGCACAGGTACTGAGGGATCTCTCTCTGATGAGATATGAAAAAACTCCTCATGCTGCAGGAATGGTGTGATGGGAACTTGTGACTTTTTTGTGTCTCAGTGTACCTGCCAAATCCCGGAGGGCAGTTATGACTCATCAAGATGTCACAAAATCACCCAGGACAAATTTAAGACCACTGCTGGATGGCAACATGTTTTAACCCTGAATAAGAGACTGAACATGTGTACATCCATGGGAGAAATTAACATCTTGAGAATCCGTATAGCGTCTGGATAGATTATTTTACAGACTGATGAGACATTGGTAAATGTAAATCTGAAATCCAGCTTAATATTTCATAAAAGGTAACACTTCTTTTTCAAATATGGAAATGCTGGTTTTCTACAACATTAAATTTTTGATAAATGAAATGATTTTAAACTGTTTTTGTATTTACTCCAGTTGACTTTGAAATCTATGTGAATATCTTTAAGAGTTCAGCGTGTCAAAAGAAAAGGAACATAAGAAGATGGCCTCATTGCTGTGAGTTAGTATTTACCCCTTTAGAAAGAACAGCCTGTGTTTAGCAGGAGAGATCTGTTCAGGCTAGTTGTATTCAGTAAATTTTTTGCTTCAGGTGTTTTATTTCATCTTGGTGTCATATCTGCCATCTAACTCTGCCTCAGAGGTTACACATCTGAGTCACCCCCAAAGGATCTGAAGCCGTTCTTTGCTTGTTATGTTTCACTGCCTAACCTAAGCGCCATGATGTTGTTGGTATTTACAGACATTGTGCTATGGTAGCCAAACTGTGTAGATATACAGTTGTCTTTTGAAATTCATTTGCATCAATAATACTACTGTCACATTATTCAAATTGTTTTCTCTTTAAAATTTTTCTCAGTCGGACCTGAAATGCGTGCAGGATGCCAAAGGAGGCTCGTTTTACAGAGACCACTGTCCTGTTTTAGGTAAGTAATCCAGTGATGTGTGTCTATCGTCATTATTGCACCAAATTTCTCACCTCTCATTCTAGCGCAGTGAATTCAAGGGCATTAGGGCAATTATACTTGTACTTCCATCTGCTTGGCCACTAGATGGCAGTAGTGCATAGTTACTTGAGTATACAATGTAGAGTACAATGTATATCATATATATGTTGATATGAGTCTATAAATAGATAAATGGTTCAGGACAGCTCGGTTGACTTATTAGGTTCAATATGACCATTATTTTATAAATTGTAGAAAGATTTGTTGCGTATTTCTCTGAAATAGCGCTCAGTGTATTGATCTCTTTCATACTTCTCCTTAAGGTCACCTACAGACAGACTCCTAAGACTTGCAGTGCGGCACACATATTTAATGCAGTTGATAACAGTTGATACATTTAAAGTTCCCTTCATCCCCCAGGTGAGCAGAATGGAAACAGAAATCCTGGTGGTCTTCAGATTGGAGACTTGGTCAACATTGATCTGGATTTGGAGATTGTTCAGTCCCTCCAGCATGGCCACGGGGGATGGACCGACGGAATGTTTGAGACGCTCACAACTACAGGGACGGTGTGCGGCATTGATGAGGACCATGACATTGTGGTCCAGTACCCCAGTGGGAACAGGCAAGTCTCGTTTAGGATGGGATTAGATTTTCTAGCTTTTCAGGAATGGTAAAAACAAAAGCATTTTTTAAGAAATCTCTAAATGTCCCACCTATAACCATGGTTTCTTGCACTTGAGGGAGTAGATTTCTTGTCAATGAATGAAATGAGTAAGTAAAGTAAATCTTCTAAAAGTGTTCAAAATGACAGAAATACTAAAAAGATTTATTTACATTCCAACCTTTTTTTTTGTAAATCTTCCAAGACACATTTTAGCATCCATCCATTAATTTTCTCCCACTAAGTCCTTGTCAGTGTCGCCTTGGGGCCGGTGTCTATCTCTGGCAGTCTACGGGCGAGAGGCGGAGGGTATGACCTGGACAGGTTGTCGGTCTGTCGCAGGGCAACACAGAGACACACAAAAGCACATACCCATTCACGCACACATTCACACCTAAGGACAATGTAGAGAAGCCAATTAACCCAACAGTCATGTTTTTGAACTGTGGGAGGAAGCCGGAGTACCCGGAAAGAACCCACGCATGCACAGGGAGAACATGCTAACTCGATGCAGAAAGACCCCAGCCCGGGAATCGAACCCAAAACCTTTTTGCTGCGCAGCGCTACCCATTGCCTCACATTTTAGCTTATGTTGTTTTATCTTAAAATTATGATATACAATAATAAAAGAACAATATTTAATATTTCTTTTCCCCCATCCTCAATGAGTATTCACAGAGGCGATGTCATGAAGAAGGCTTAGTTCCCAAAAATACTTTTTTAAGCAATTTTAAAAAGATCACAAATTTGAGCTTTTAAGCTAGTTTAGCATTTCTTTAGCTATTTTAGTGAAAATGCAGTTAAGTTAGTTAAAGCAGCAATTCATTTATTTATTCAATTCTTTGTGGCCTTTTCCTTTATGTAGAAAAAGAGAAAAAAAAACCGTTGTTTTGTTTTTTTATGTATTCTACCTGAATGATTAAGAATTGTTAAGGTGTGTAGAGAACAGTTTTCTTTTGAACAGCTTTGTACATCTGTAGGTGTCCGATGGCCTCACTTTAGTGGTCTCACTGTTGGTGAAAGCAAATTTTGAGTGTTCTTCCTTGTGATGTTAGCACAGCCTGTCAGTGCGTAGTGTTCATATTTTCCCTGATCAGTTTGCTTTCTTTAAAGCGTTGTTTGCTTTGATAAATCTTAAAAATGCTGTCGTGGGAATCTACTGAGGGTTTTTCTTGTGCTATGCTGTCAGAATTTCTACTATAAATAATTAGATCTGTTGCTTGGATGCATCACTTTTTTTTAACAGATGGACATTTAACCCAGCAGTGCTAACGAAGGCTAATGTAGTGCGCAGCGGGGAAGTTGCAGCAGGTGCAGAGGGAGGAAGCTCACAGTTTCATGTAGGAGACCTGGTCCAGATCTGCTATGACATCGACCGCATCAAGCTGCTACAAAGAGGGCATGGGGAGTGGGCTGAGGCCATGCTGCCTGTAAGTTTGAACAAATCCTGAGAATAAATCCAAAATGTTCCTCCCTTTATGTCTCACTACCAGCCCCAATGTCAAGTTTGTTCATTGCTTCAAAGAAAGAGCCGTCTTATAATGCTAGTTTTACTCCATTATGCCACCAGCCCCTCCCAGACTGGCTCCCCTCAATGGCTGCTGAGCCCGAAAACCTGAAATGCATTGTAGCCTTGATCACTAACTATGGCTGTTTGCCGCCTGCTGGTTGTCATACAGCAGCAGTCCTCCTTATTGATGACATCCTTGAGGACAGCCTGACCCAGCTTAACTTGATCAGAGTGCAGCTCTCCTATATAGCTGTTATCAGGATGATGTCATTTAAAATTGGAGGATTATACTCTGTCCTTTTTCTGCAGCTGTTTCCTCCATTTTAAACTTTCTTTCTGTGTCTTAGCTTCCTCACACTGTCTCACACATGATCTTAATGCTAGGCCTGCCCTTTAAATACTAACAATTTTGTCCAACTTCTTCGATTAGACTTTGGGTAAGGTGGGCCGTGTGCAGCAGATCTACTCTGACAGTGACCTGAAGGTCGAGGTTTGTGGGACTTCCTGGACGTACAACCCTGCGGCTGTCACTAAGATCGCCCCCTCCGGCTCTGCTGTCAGCAATGCCTCAGGAGGTACATGTGAACATGCTCTGCTGTCGCTTGGAGAGTATCATATTAGTCTTTTGTCCTCACTGCTCTGTTTTTCTGTGGCACCTACAGAAAATCAATCTGAGTCTCCGCTTGTTTTCCCAGAGCGTTTGTCTCAGTTGTTGAAGAAACTATTTGAGACGCAAGAGTCTGGGGACATCAATGAGGAGCTGGTCAAGGCAGCGGCTAATGGAGACCTGGCTAAAGTGGAGGACATTTTGAAGAGACCTGATGTGGATGTAAGTAGGATTGCCATTGGAAAAAAAAATGTTAATCGCTGAATCAAACTCAAACGCAAATTTTCTGCAAAAATATTTCATTGTTTTTACTATGTAGTTGGTAAAAAAAAAAAAAAAAGGTAATGAAAGTTAACTTTTTTAAACAATTCTTTTTTTTATTTCCAATTTTTGTTTCATATCTCGATTTAAATTAAGTAATACCGTAAAATAAAATGTTATCAGTCATTTGTTCTTTTAAGTTTTTCATATCTACATAAAGATCTAATGTCAGCATAATAATATGAAATAAAGAGAAGCAACATCTCGGGACTTCCTCAAAAAGTCCTGCTGCAGCTTTAAAACTTGCAGACAGCCTCAGTTAAATGGGAATCTTAAACACTTTCACAGGTGAACACAGCAGGTCTTAATGCTCAGTTCTGACCCGTTTTATTTTATTTTTATTTTAAATCTGATCTTTTTGGCCCAGGCCTCAATACTGCTAATTACATGTGACCACATCAGATCTGTCTTAATGGTTCAGCACTCCAGAGCGACCTGCATACACAGGAAGAGTGTAGACGTCACACTGCAGCACACTGTTTACAGAAATAATAATGGATTTTACTGTCACTACAAGTTTTCAACAAGGCTTTACTGAAAAAAAACCCAAAAGCACAAAAAAATAACGCTAAATGCCAGTATCTTAGTGTTATTATTAAACACTTAAGCCGACAGCACCATGACCATGTCATAAAAAGACAAAGGAAGGCAAGAAAATGCAGCAGAGCTAATAACAAATGTCTTTAGCGGAGTAAATGTGGTGAAGTGTAGAGGGAGCCAGAAACATGGCGTAATAGTCGCATAAAATAATGACTGTGGATGCTTTGAAAACAATCGGATTTATGTCTGATTTAGGACCACCTGTGGAAGCCACTAGGATAGTTTATTTCATTTTTTTTTTCAATTTGAAAACATCTAAATTACAGGTGCTGGTCATAAAATTAGAATATCATGAAAAAGTAGATTGATTTCAGTAATTCCATTTAAAAAGTGAAACTTGTATATTATATTCATACATTACATACAAACTCATATATTTCAGATGTTTATTTTGTTTAATTTTGATGATTACAAATGACAACAAATGAAAATCTCAAATTCATCATATCAGAAAATTAGAATATTGTGAAAAGGTTCAAAATTGATGGCCCCTGGTGCCACACTCTAATCAGCTAATTAACTCAAACCACCTGCAAAAGCCTTTAAATGGTCTTTCAGTCTAGTTCTATAGGCTACACAATCATGGGGAAGACTGCTGACTTGACAGTTGTCCAAAAGACGACCATCGACACCTTGCACAAGGAGGGCAAGACACAAAAGGTCATCGCTAAAGAGGCTGGCTGTTCACAGAGCTCAGTGTCCAAGCACATTAATAGAGAGGCGAAGGGAAGGAAAAGATGTGGTCGAAAAAAGTGTACAAGCAAGAGAGATAACCGCACCCTGGAGAGGATTGTGAAACAAAACCCATTCAAAAATGTGGGGGAGATTCACAAAGAGTGGACTGCAGCTGGAGTGAGTGCTTCAAGAACCACCACACACAGACGTATGAAAGACATGGGTTTCTGCTGTCGCATTCCTTGTGTCAAGCCACTCTTGAACCACAGACAGCGTCAGAAGCGTCTTGCCTGGGCTAAAGAGAAACAGGACTGGACTGCTGGTGAGTGGTCCAAAGTCATGTTCTCTGATGAAAGTAAATTTTGCATTTCCTTTGGAAATCAAGGTCCCAGAGTCTGGAGGAAAAGAAGAGAGGCACTTCATCCACGTTGCTTGAAGTCCAGTGTAAAGTTTCCACAGTCAGTGATGGTTTGGGGTGCCATGTCATCTGCTGGTGTTGGTCCATTGTGTTTTCTGAGGTCCAGGGTCAACGCAGCCACATACCAGGAAGTTTTAGAGCACTTCATGCTTCCTGCAGCTGACCAACTTTTTGGAGATGCAGATTTCATTTTCCAACAGGACTTGGCACCTGCACACAGTGCCAAAGCTACCAGTACCTGGTTGAAGGACCATGGTATCCCTGTTCTTAATTGGCCAGCAAACTCTCCTGACCTTAACCCCATAGAAAATCTATGGGGTATTGTGAAGAAGAAGATGCAATACACCAGACCCAACAATTCAGAAGAGCTAAAAGCCACTATTAGAGCAACCTGGGCTATCATAACACCTGAGCAGTGCCACAGACTGATCGACTCCATGCCACGCCGCATTGCTGCAGTAATACAGGCCAAAGGAGGCCCAACTAAATACTGAGTGCTGTACATGCTCATACTTTTCATGTTCATACTTTTCAGTTGGCCAACATTTCTATAAATCCTTTGTTTTTATTGGTCTTCAGTAATATTCTAATTTTCTGATATGATGAATTTGAGATTTTCATTTGTTGTCATTTGTAATCATCAAAATTAAACAAAATAAACATCTGAAATATATGAGTTTGTATGTAATGTATGAATATAATATACAAGTTTCACTTTTTAAATGGAATTACTGAAATCAATCTACTTTTTCATGATATTCTAATTTTATGACCAGCACCTGTATATAGCTTTGTCTGATGAGACGGTGATCATGCACATGGTGACATTATTATGCTGTAATGATGAAACTAGATCGTTCTTTGAGGGTTTCAAGTACTTTAGACTGCTGGCAGACTTTAAGATCTCAGCTCATTTGACCTTGAACCAGATGGATGTCAGTCATTTTTTGATTTTTTGAAGTTTTATGACCAAAAATGTAAAAGATCTGAGCACATTGACTGTTGGACTGGAAACAATCATTTCTTTATTCTTGTCTTAACATCTATTGAGTAATCTTCCTGTCTCCCTCGATAAATCAATGAGCTGCTCCCACTGGTTCTCCTCTCAGTCAGAAGAACGTTAAGACGGACCCAGTGGAGGGGCCAGGGAGCTCTGGTGTGCAATGCAGCACAAACCCTCATACACTCAGTTTCATTTGGGGAGCTGCAAAGTCCCATATGGTTGAGGATTATGTCCTGATGCAGCCAGTCCCACACACAAAAAAAAAAGTATTTACCCAATGACAGAAACTAATGGCTGCTGGAAATACAAAGAAATCCTTACATCAAGTCTGCAGCAGCGCTCTCCATCAGACCAGGAGAGTGAATGAGAGTGCGTGTGTCATTGGTGAACGTTGGCCGGATGCCCTGTTGCCTTTCAGTGGAATTATTTGCTTAAAGCTGAGCACACGGAGTCTGGCCAAGTGATCCTGCTGCCAGGACAAGAGATGTCTCAAGACTCCCAGAGGAGTCCACATTAATATTTATGCTCCCAGTTCTTGCAGTGCTGCAGTTGGTGATGAAAGATGCACGTCCAGTCCTGCATACGTATCTATTCATGCAAACACACCCTCGCTAATCCCTTATCTTCTATCCCACTAATTTCCTGCATCAATCAAGCAATCAGCCAGTTTTATTTAGAAACCACTTTTTATGCATGTAGATATAATACAGAATGCTTTAGAGGGGTTCTAACAGAAGTGAGCCTGCAAAGAAAAGGAGCAATCAATCCAGATGTGTCAAAACTAAGTAAATATAAGTGGAGATGATTTCAGAATGAATTCAAATATTTTTGTTTACTACATTTTCGTCTTAGTTTGACCTGCTCATTTTTATCTGACAACTAAAACGCATGAAATAAAAAAACGGGTGCTTTAGCTTGTATGGTATCGTAAATCCGACCAATAATATTACAAGACAATCCCCATTTATGTTTCAAAGCATATGTCCATAATATTGATCTCTCTTTTTAACTAAACAAAAAAAATAAACTCAAAATGGATAAAGCTGCCTAATCTCTTTATGTTGTTTTTATTTTTGATATGAAAATAAGCTTTTAGTTAAAATGCATTTAATGAATCAGAAAACCAGAATTTAGTGATTTATTTTTTTGTCTTCACATACAGTTAACCAATAGTCATATAAATTTAAAAAATTACTTTAAAAAAAAAAAAACTAGCTCCAAAAAGCTTTTACCCAAAGGCATCAAACACTAGTTTTAACCCCAATAAAAAATTTGATGGATTACATAATAATAATACATCCACAGATTGAATACTGGCAATAAATGAATAAAATGTTCTAAATATGGATGGATGACAGGAAGAAAGTAAAAAAAAAATTATTGATTAAGTCTTCATTTTAACCGTGTTTTCTGAAAACCTGTTCCAAACCATAATAAGAAAACATTTTTTTTTTCATTATCCAAACTGGAAATCTTGTATAATCTTATCTTTATGTTCATATGAAGCCAGAGGAACGGAGTCTCATCCATCAAGTCTTTCATAACCACTTGGCCTTCATCTCTCTGGCAGTGATTCAGTCTATAACCATTCAATGATTGATCCAAACTCTTCTGGATTGTCCAGCTCAGGTGGACATGGGAATGCACGGATACTTGAGTGCCAGCGTTTGGCCTCTCGTCCTCTAAAACTGCCTTTAATTATTTAATTCCAGTTGAGAAAAATCCTTACACTTTGTGTAGCTGAATAGCGCATAGTGATGTGCATCTGTTAGCTGTTGCAAACGACTAAATATGTCACAAACATTAATTAAATATATAAAAGCATATCATAGAACATCAGTTTGTTTTGTTGATGTGTAATCCAATGGCTGGCTACATCAAGTGCGATCTCTTGATCTGAAGCCACTCAGGGAACAAGAGTGGACTGCTCTGGGTCCCTGAGCAAGACCCTTAACCCCCACACTGCTCCCTGGGGGCCACAGCCCACTGCATCCCCAAGAGGATGAGTTAAATGCAGAGAGTTAATTTCGTTGCTCTGTACTTATGAAAGTGCAATGACAATAAAACGCTGTAAGAGAAAAATTGTATATTGGTGATATAAAAAGACAATGCTATGGGCATGCATCAAAACATTGCACTGCTCAGTGTGTGTGTGAGATGCAGAGTTTTATTTCTTCAGTTCACCTTTTTCAGGGATTTTCACCATAGATAATGCTAAATTCATACAGGAAAAACATCCCTGGCACAGTCAAATGGACTCGCTTACTACTGAATCAGAATTTTAATTCTTACGATGACTGGTCACTGCCTGACTGCATTTAACTGTTTTTTTGTTTCCCCCCCCCCCCCCTCTTACTTTCAAAATGGCTCCAGGTGAATGGACAGTGTGCGGGACACACAGCGATGCAGGCAGCCAGTCAGAATGGTCATGTGGACGTCCTCAAGCTGCTGCTTAAACACAGCGTAGACCTAGAAGCAGAGGTTTGTGGGATTTCTGTCTATTCATTCCTAAAAGTGTAATTTTTAGCGTGTCATAAAGCTGAAAAGTGGGGATATATATCATTTTTTTGTGTGTAATTATAATATTATATATTTTTAATGTGTTTGCTGTGTTTAGGACAAAGATGGAGATCGGGCAGTGCACCATGCAGCATTCGGTGATGAAGGCTCTGTCATTGAGGTGCTCCACAGGGGCGGGGCTGATTTGAACGCTAGGAACAAGCGAAGACAGACTCCGTTACACATAGCAGTCAATAAGGGTCATCTACAGGTTGTTAAAACCTTGCTGGATTTTGGCTGCCACCCTAGCCTTCAGGTAAATATTACCTTGAACCTTTTCACAGGGCTGGACAGATCATATAGGTCAGGTGTGTCTTCAGGGAAACGTGGAAAACCCTTTTTTAAATGTATTACTTAAAGGGTTTTGAGTAACCTAAGTTTTCCCTTTAAGGATTCGGAAGGTGACACACCTCTGCACGATGCAATTAGCAAGAAAAGAGATGACATGCTGTCGGTGCTGCTGGAGGCCGGCGCAGACGTCACCATCACTAACAATAATGGCTTCAACGCCTTGCATCACGCTGCCCTGCGAGGAAACCCCAGGTATGTGATCGTTTTGTGCACCTGGTTGCTTATTTAGCGGGGCTGTGTGGAGGCTACATGCTCAGGATGATGCTTAGTGCTGTTGATAAACACTGTTTTGGTTGCAGAATCTTAAACTCATATGACTGGGTATTTCTTCATGTTATTTTAGGCACACACAGTGGGATCATGAGGGTCAGATTTAACCCCAGACTGCTGTGCTTCTTTAATGTAGAGACGGAGGCAGCACTGCCAGAGTCGCTCATAAGTGACTTAATGAGCTTCTTTGAAAGATCCAGGGCGTCTGAATTTCTGGTAATAGAACCGTAGAGGCTGTGTTGTGTTTTCTTTACAGATCAATCTGCTTCCCTCCAAAGATATACAATCTTTTTGAATGAAGCCTTTTAAACAAACCTAGGGCTTGATGCAGGGTTTTCCTTCACAGATTCCTCTTAAGCCCTAAAGTAAGGCCATTAAAAGTTAAATAAGTGTAATTGTGCTGCCTCACTAGAGACACTTACTGCAGTTTAATTTCAAGTTATTCTTTAAGGCTGCAGCTATTACTCCAACAGATGGCCAGGTCTGTTATGTTGACTACTGGTAGTTTAGCTGATAGGCTTTAAACTTAATTTGTAGTTTTATTTTACTGTTCTGCTTGTCCCTCACCATGTGTTGGGAGCAGAGGCTGGCCTGAGGAGGCTGCTTTCTGCAGCAGTGTCTCGTCTTGTCCTTGGCGACGGCTATTTCTGGCCAGCAGGTTGTTTTTTTTCTTACTCTTATCACTATGGGAATGTAAAGCTGGCTAAGAGAGGAGCTTAGCTGAATGAGACTGATCATTCAAGGTCTGTTAAGGTGGTTGATGTAGATGCTGGGACAACATTAAAGGAAGTTGTTCTTTATTGTATTTTACAGATGTTTGACATGCTGTTTGTTCTCCATTTTTAATGTTTAAGATTCAATAATCTGTCATTGTTGGTTTGTGTGAATAATGTATTATTTCTAGGTTTACTTCCACCACCAAGCTGACTTTTCTACCTGTTTTTGGGTACATTCTCATAAAAGTAGGTGGCTTATCAATTCCAAAGCCTGTTGTGATATTGAACTGGTATGATAATATGTGTTTTAACCAGCAGATTACTTTCTTACCTTGAGCAACCCGAAAAGGTGGAGCCAGTTAATTTTTTCTCATTCTGTAATAACTGCCGCAGGAGGAAAGACTCCCGTACGGCACCTGAATATGGTCCTACTGTTTTCACACAGTTTTACATTGGGTATACAGAGTTGCCACCTTTAGCCAAAAGTCAGAGCGCGATCCACTGCATCTACAACTCTCAGTCCTGCATGCCATCTCTGCTAGAGATGTTTTTTTTTTAACTGGATCGGCATTTTACATGCTTTGTCGATACGCATTTTTTTGCCAATATCGGCGTCCCGATCCGATACGTGGATCGGATCGGGACAAGCCTAATCTCTGCCTAAAGGTTCTTAGCAGAAATCAACAAAAATGGCGGCCCACATAGTTCTGGCTTTGTAACCTGTCTATAAAAATGGTCAAACGTGCAAATTATTTGTTGTTTACAGCACCTGTTATATGTTAGCTATTTTGGAGGTTGAGGTTGGTAAGAAACTTCTGACTTTTCATGAAGTTCCAACCCTATGGGAGCATTTTGTTTATTTTTCCAGCTTGGAGATTAGAGTAAAGAAAGTAGTAAGTAAATAAAGGAACTTATAATTGGACTTTATGTTTACAATGTTCCTCTTCTCCAGCTTCACTCTTCCTCCTTTTGGTACTCACGTTAATCTTCTTTTTAGATATACTAAAACTGATATACACGTGCTAAACTGCACCAGCCATTACTAGATTTGCCCCTCTGAATACACTGCACTCTGTACAACCGCTTGATATATGGCTTTAATGGCACAGATGCAAAAGCTTTAAGTGCTGGGGATGTTTTGAGGAAGTGTAGACAAGAACAAAATAATCTAATTGAGCACATTCTCTTGTCTATACTTCTGTAAACCGTTTAAGATTCAGAAAGTTGGTCTTGTTAAAATTTTCTATCACAACATAGAAGAAAAAGCAAAACCAAGGCATCAGGGATTACCTGCATTTCAAATCGTTTAGTTTGCCAAAGAAAAGTAATTGGAAATTGTTTAAGAACCCACTGCATGAAACAGAACTAATTTGAATTGTAGATATTTAAAATCAGTTGCTGCATAATTTGTATTAGCAAAGCAGCTTTCAGAACATACAGTCGAAAGCCGGTTTTCAGTAGGAGGCATTGATTTACAGGCAAAAAGTGCTGGAGTACAGCATTTTCTATATCAGGGCTTCGGTTGTGTTGTGTGTGAATTACCTGCCTCAGTCCACACTCTGTCCCCTCGCTTTCAGAGAAACAAAGATATATGTCCCCATCTCCAGTATTCCCATTTACTTTTATTTCACGCTCGAGCTGCTGCAATATTGGAGAGAGAGTCCACAAGTCCTAAAGCCCCCCAAATCTCTCCCTAGGTCCAAGTGAAAGCTCCGCGTCCAAGCATGTTTAGTGGAGAGACAGTCACTTCGATTGATTGCTTTGAGGAATTTCTGCCATAGAATCATATTTCTAAAAAAGTACTGATGTTGGCCCATAAGAAATAAGGGCTAATCAGAGGGCCCTATTTAGAGGTCAGCATGTGGGACAGAAGCACCATAACTTGAACTTGGAGAACTGGATTTCCTACCGAGTTGTGTTCAGTTTAAACATAAGTACAGGTTGTTTTGCTATACGGGAGGTTAAAATAGTAAAATCTATTATTCGATTATCCGATTTAATTTGTATACCAAAAAAAGTATCAGGTAATTATCAACCTGCTCTCAAAACAAGCTAACAAAATGGTTAAGAAGAGCAGTAAATTACATCCGTTTTTTAAAAATCTACATTCTTAATTGGAATTTGAAGAATCGTGTTCAGATGAAAATTTGATATATTGAGTACAATGGGTCATAAAGCAACTGCAGAATGATGCATGAGCAGAAATGGCTAAAAAGCTAAAGTAATATTGGTTCTAGAAAGCAGATAAAATAATCCAGATTTTAAAATGTAAATTTTTTTGTGTCATTTTTGAGACAGACAGAAGCACTGTTGTTTAATGTTAAGTTATATCTGCTGATATAATAAAAAGACGACCAATGTATGTGGTAAATACTTTAAAAAAGCAATCCGTTTGTTTTTGTAAGACTTTGATTACAGGATTCAAATAAAATAAACAAATTAAAAGATTCATTAGAAATATAGAGCAGGATGTTTTTCACCTGTAAGCACTGAATCAGTCAGTCATAAAACAGACATTAGACTCTACCAAAAAAAATATTTATGGATATCTTAAAATCTGAAGAAACAAATATTACTGAATAGCCACTGAATAGATTAAATTAATTAATCTAGGTTAAGAAAACAAATTTTGATTTATTTTGAAAGCAAGTTTAGAAGAAAATTGTAGATGTAAAAAAACAAACAGAGAAAATGATAAAAAGTGCATTAATAAACAAAGTATGTTCTTTTTTTATATTGTTTTTTCCTAAATTGGAAGCTGACAATATAATTTTAAACTATAATACTATAAAAATCTGAAGTTAAAAATATCTTTTTGTAATTTACTCTTAAATACAAAACGCCTGCAGAGAGAGGTGAAGCCCTCATTGTTTTCCATTCATAATGTAAGCTATGAATGTGAAATTCTGCTGTTTGGTTGGAAGCAGAAGATCCAGCACTGTCCATGTTGTTTGCAAGGTGGTTTTAAGAGCACAAGGTTAGTTGCACATGAGTGAAAAGAAGATTGAGGAAGATATAAAGGAGGAACTCTGTGGGAGATGAATACATCTTTCACTTTGGAGTCCCAAACTCTGAGAGAAATCAGCTCTACCCACTGGGGAGTCCTTCCAGACTTCAGCCTGCTAATTACTCAAACACACATCAGTAGCGCCTGAAACCTAAGACCTGTGTGGATTTAAACAGTTGGGGTATATGCTGTACATTGCTTTTTGCTTTCACTTAAACTTTTACACAGGGACTCTGCCTCATCTCTCTTTCCTCCGTGCTTCTAGATGCCAGTAGCTTCCCCTGGTTTGTAAACAAAAGATTAATATCCCATGATTCATAAATGGGCTTTAAACAAGCATTCCCACAGTTTTTTTTTATTGTTTTTTTTTTTTTGCAGTCTTTTACATGTATAACGTGCTCCCCTCGATTTCCTTCACCCTTCTCAGTTTTCTTTTCAAATGGATTGAAACACACAAACCTCAAAGGGTGACTGGCCCTGAGGAGATGGAAGGGATCTATTAGGTAACACGTAAATTTGGGAAGCATTCGGATGTAGCACGGCAACTAATAGCCTGCAACTTTAATTTAGTGTCAGGAAATAAAATGTAGTTGGATAGAAAATACAGTTTCTTAGGTTTTCTGAAATGTTCCTCATGAATGACTTGTATTCAGGAATAAACTTTAACTCTGTAATAAAGAAACTGTACAATAGATTCATGGCACAAATAATAGAAAATAACTAATGGTTGCCAATAACGTCATATTACCGTGTATTACCTATGTAGATGATTTAGTAAAATACTTAACATTTTTTAGCTGCATATGTTAAAATCATACATTTTCCATGAAAGCCTTTTTAGTGAGACGCCACAGAAGGAGCAGCAGAAAGCAGACCTTCTCCTTTTGGAAGCATAACGCAGCGCTGCCGCTCAGCCGACAGAGAAACGGCTACTACATCTATTTATCTCTTTCCTGCCAGAAAGATGAATCTGTCCTTTTTGGAAATATTGGACATCAAAATCTCAATAACGGACAATGGTGCATGTCTGTTAGGCAGCTGACTGCAGGGTTGTTAGGGACTAATTACCCACTTCATCTAGGCCTTTCATTCCCCCTGCTTCAATTTAGAAAGAGCTGAACACTTAAAGAGATGATATTCTGGCGATAACCATGCTCTCTTCAAATCTGCCTCCACATTTAGAGCTTGTTTTAAGTCGT